TTGTTTATCAATTTATTAATTAGAAGGTTCAGTCGTCCAGCTATTAAATTTCACTAGCTTTCAAAATCTTCCATTCTTTACTTCAAACTCTTCAAAATTTTCTATTTTGAGAATAGAAAATTTTTTTTTTTACTTGGTATGACAGCTACAAAGGTTTTTTTAGTTTTTGCATTCCAGCATCAATAAACATGGAGAATTTCAACATAAAATACCATGTGATATCGTAAAGATGTGATGTATCGAGGTTTACAGAAGCCAATTTTATGAAAAACTATTGGCAAAATCTATGGTAACCTAAACTAGTAAAAGTTTCATTGCCTTTGAAGGAGGAGAAAATTATAAAATATGAAAGCTTGTCATACAGGTATTTATGCAGCAAAAAGAGTAAGCGACAATAAAATATTTCTAATGGCAGCCATGGCCCCTTGGCTTTTTCAAATCCTACTTTAGCCCCTAGATGCTTTTTTTTTTTATTTAGCCATATGAAAGTTTTCTTAGTTATTTTTATTAGCCCCTTTATTTCCTCACAAGCTTTCTATCTAATCATTACCATTTTAAATATATTTTACTTAATTCTTGATTGATTACTTAATTATCAACTTTCTATTAGAGAATTATACAGTGAATTTTGAAAATTGTTTGAATAGTATTATTCAATTTTGATTAAAATAACATTGGAAATTGTGGCCTAAGCATATTGGGCTAACATTTTAGGCCTTGTAGACTAATACAGATTGAATTTGTCTCTTTAGAAAGGAAAGTTAGAATTTGACCTTTGAACTAGTGTACGGATGCTTCATTTTGTCCATTATGTCACGAGCTTGAAACTTTAGCCAAGTTTTGTAATACTATAGTCTCGTATTCGTAAGATTAAGCAAGCTTAAACGACATTTCTCGATGATTGGTGCTAAAACGTAAAGTAAGCAAATATGAAGCATGAGATTAGGAAAAATAGATAAGTATTATTGCTCAATGAGAGAAAAACAATGTACTTAACATTTTAGCACAAAGTAAATTGCTTGATTCGATAAACTTGATTTGATTACCTTACAATGACTCCTGACGGTGCTACTTGTAATAGCCTACTTAAGCTAAACTTAATGTGCAAGTAAAAATAAATATGAAAGTATCTAATCTAGATTTCCTTGAAGTACAAAAAAAGTAAAGTCCTAAAACTATGCCTCCTTAATGAGCAAGTAATCAACAAAGGGGACTTTATTTTTGGAAAGTATTATAGTTGCCTTAAAATATTTTGCTTGGCTGCCAAGGCGACAGCTGATGGACCCTTGTCTGTGGACTAGCTCGACAATCCATACGGGTTGAACTAATCACGGATTTGAAGATCGATACATTCTTCCCTACTTGATTTAGGCAATGACTTCGCTGCCTCATGATCTCTTTCCACCACAAGTCTTCATCAAGTTCCCCACAAGCGCCGTGGGTGTGTTTGAGATAGTTTTTCTCCAACTATCTTAAGAACACTTCCAAGTTAGGATTTGTTATGTGGTTTGATCACCAATTGATGTCATTCTCTCTCTCAATCTTCAAACTGTATGATACCTAGCTTTGGAAAGCGTTGCTCTGATACAAACTGTCATGGGCTTGAAGCTTTAGCCAAGTTCAGTGTGACGTTATAGTCTCGTGTTTGTAAGGCTCAGCAAGCCTAAATGAGGATTCTGGATGATTGGCGCAGAAACGTAAAGTAAGCAAATATGAAGAAAGAGATTGGGGAGAATAAATAAGTAATATTACTCTAATAAAAGAAAAAAAAGTACCTAAGATCTAAGCACAAAGTAAATTGCTTGATTCGACAAACTTGATTTAATTGTCTTACAATGACTCCTAAAGGTACTATTTATAATAGCCTACTTAACCTAAACTCCGTGTGTAAGTAAAAGTAAATATGAAAATATCTAGCCTAAACATCTTTGGAGGACAAGAAA